CCATGAACCTAACAAGCAAAGATTGAGTATGTTTTTCAATGTATGGAATGATATATATGCAAAAATTGAAAATGATGATTCTTTATATGATCGATCAAATAGAAACAAAAAGATGAGGAAATGAATGGCTTTCTAAAAGGGTCATTCTATATTTATTATTTATATTATTATATATGCATTTACAAGATTACAATAATAATTCAATGTTACAAATCATAGATAAATGATCACTAGCATACTCACCTTCATGAGGTTGGCCGTGTTTTGGCATTTCCGAGTCCAGTGGCATTCTTAAAAATCCTCTTAACCTTATTGAATTTTCAATCTCAAACTTTTCCAATGAATCAACCGCTTGTCTGTTATCAAAGTCCCATGTGTTTACATGGAATATATAGTCCAATAAACCTCTCCAAGTATTAGCCCAGTTGGAAATAATTGGTTCACCACGAGTGTTGTCAATACCTGCATTTTCAGCATGAACATGTTTGTACCCAACAGAATACAATGAATTTGCTCTCATACCAAGCTCATTATGAATTACAGCCATCCTTTCAACAAGAGCTGTTTGTTCCTCATTTGCAATGAACGTTTCAGGTACAGGTGTCTGTGGCTGATCTTTACCAAATTTTTCGATGTTACCACCTTCTTCGTCATCTACATCCTCTTCACCATTTCTCAATTTTGAAAATTTGTATGATGTACTGCATTGAATAACAGTCTTTGCTCTTTCAGTATACTCAATTGGTTTCGAAGTCATGGATAAATATGGAGAATCAAACGGTTGTGAATTAAAGTCACCACAGAAGAAAGGAACCCAATGACTTAAATCACCATCATTGCCATTTTGCAAGACGTTTACCCTATGCATAAATTCTTTCATTTTATTCAATAAAACATAGCATTGTCTAGTCCTTTCATAGGTACCAAATGGATGCCAGAAAAGATGAGTGGTACCAATAATAATACCTGTAGTTTTGGTATTTTTTGGTAAAGTGCTTAGTATTTTATCGGAGAATTTCAATGAGAGGATCAAACCAGTATTGTTTGTTCTTGTTCTTGGAGGAATATCAGAAGAAGTTTCTTTATCAAAGTCTATTAGCATTCTATCTGTCATTTTGAACATCTCACGTTTCCAAACAATGGCAACACCATGATTTTTTGATGCTATTCTATGGAATTGACTTTCGTATCCTAATTTTTCGAATTCAACTTTCCAGAAAGCTTGATATTGAATATGATCAATTTCTTGTAAACAAATTACATCCGAATTATAATGTTGGAATTCATACAATAATACTTTTGATCTTCTAAACCATTTTACAGCTTCTCCACTATCAGGGAACAATTTCCGTCTAATTAAAGCTTGGGCAAGACAGTTATATGTCATTAAAGTAAAGTTAAACCCAGTAACTGGCTCATCTTGGTGCAAATGTAACATTGGTCTCTTAATGAATTGTAATTCCGGTGGATAGTCTGGATCAAGACCCTTCGCAAGTAATTCTTTCCGTTTCTGTTCCTTAGCAGCAGCTCTTTCAGCTCTCTTACGTTCTATCTCCTCAGGAGATGGTTTAGATCTTCCTTTCTTCTTTGATCTCACCTTCACCGATTCATTACCTTCGTTGTCATTAGGTATTATCAGTTCTTTCTCTAGTTTGACGGCAATAGTCGTTGCATCATCGACATTTTTCACTGAATCCATTTTCAGTTACCTATCACAGATACAAAGATATACTCTACACACTGTTCGAACCGGTCCCCAGTACTACCAAATACCTATCCCTACAAATATGCTCGATTCCAAGTGTTTAATCATTCTTCTTATAGTTTAGCTGGTCTGCTAATGTTTCATCGAAGTCATCGCTTCTTTTAAATTACGCAATCAAAAAGATCCATCATATAGTACGACACTCTAAAAACATGTACCATACCATTCAATAACTCTTGGATGTCACATAATATAATACTTACAAATCAATTCCGGATCCAACTAGCTCATCAATAAAACTGATACCCATCTACTTGATGTTTGCATTCATTACAACAACGGAATTCATACTTTAGTTATATGATTCTAAACTTGTAATAGAAAAGTTTTAAAACTTCACCAAAATCACGTGATACCTTTAATTTAATGTTAAAAATTGAAAAATCAGCTCGAATTTTGAACAATTTGGAAAGAACAAGCTGATGAAGTACAGTTGTTGGTAGAAAAAAAGTCAATATTACATTACAATTGAGTGTGAAGGAGGCTTTCAAGTCATCTAGGAGAGTGTATTTGTATATACTGTAGATATTTTGATTTTGTTAGGATGGCTTTTTATAAGATTACATTGACTAGATCTTTGATTGGGTTGCCTCAAGCCACAAGAAATATTGTGAAGACCATAGGTTTAGGTAAAAGAGGTTCAATTGTATATAGAGAGGTCACTCCTTCAATTGCCGGTTCTTTGGCTAAGGTTAAGGAGTTAGTTTCTGTGGAGTTATCAGATAAGATGTTGACCAGAGAGGAGGTAAATGCTAGTAGAAAGTCTAACCCTGGCTTCACTGTTGAAAAAAGAGTTAATGTGTAAATATCAGTTTACAGGCTACTGAGTCTGCACGAAGGTCATAGAGTTATTATTAATAAATATTAATATATCATGTATATAGTTAGGAACAAAGATATTCTAATAAATGTAAAGGAAAAAAAGTATTATAGTTAATTATTTTTTTTATGAGTAGTTATAAATTCCAGTAATAAATCGACTCTTACCTTGAAGAGCTCTGAGAATTAGGGAAGTTAAACTGTAAAAAAGGGAGTATTGTCATTATGTATTTGATGTAAAACTTGTACTGTATAGAAATAAAAAAGAATAAACCTAAATAATGTCGACAACTAAAATAAATCTAATGATATAATTTTAAGATGTAGAAGAAAAAGTAAATATAAAGAACTAATACGCTTTTGGTATAATTTAAAAATTATTGTCCATTTAGAGTTAGTATATGAGAATTGATCGAGGTACAGTTTTGATCCAACTGTATCTTGTTATCACGATGGGATCTGTAACCTCATAAAGCGCTACTCGTAATCTCCGCTGGCAGAAATTTGTTCGATAATGAAGCAATGAATTCACCATTGTCATTTTCATCATCATCATCAGAAAATGCTACACTGAAAGAATCAACCATACGTAAGATATCGCTACGATCTAGCGCTTTGCCGTCAAAACTCAATTCAAAACTGTCGTTACCTATAGTAGAGGTCAGTAATGTTCTGGAATTGGATATTTTTGCTATATCATGCACATTATTTGGCGTTCTTTTATTTGTTGCAGTAGAATTCTCTAGTCTTTCACACAATTTCTCAATTGCGTTTTCGATAGAACCTAGATCAATATTGTCATCCGAAATTGAACGGTATGGTTGTAATTTATTATAATACTTGTTATAAACCTGATCAATCAATTCAACAACAACTTTATAAGAGGTTTTTTCTTGCATCACTGGCTTATTTAGTTTATAATTTTTCTTTCTATTCAATTGTACATTTTTTGGTAAAGTATTAATCAATGGCTTTAATTTTCCATCTTCACCTCTAAAATCGTTCAGATTTGTTATAGATGAAAAGTAACGATTCTTAATAGCCCCGGTTTTCCTCATCAGTTCATTATTATCAACTTTTAACAAATCCCTTTCACTATTAATTATAGTATATTTCAAGTTTCTATTCTGGCCAAATGTTAAATTTTGTTTTGGATTTCTCAAATTGGTATCATTAATTTTACGATTATTAACATTACTAATATTAGATTGATTATCAGGTCTATTGGAATTCCAACCACCATTATTGTTATTCAAAATAGACCTTCCTTTTTTAGACTTGTCTGATCTTAAAAGGTTCCTATTCAAATGATATTGTGGTTGTTTAAAATTATTCACTTGGCCTGATGAATAATTATAATTGTCATCTGTATTAATAAAATGTGAAGAATATCCCCCATTCTTTTTAGCATCCACAACTCCATTCATTCTAGCATTGCCATGACCATTCGGATTCCTATTATAAACAGGCTCTCTATTATCAACTAAAAATGTTTTATTATTTAAAGTTCTAGAATTTGACATCTGTTCAAATCGATATGAGGTAATTGAAAATTTGTCTTTTGAAACCCAAATAGTTTTTTTTTGATCCTAGAATACTTATTCAAAAATATAATAGTTCCATTAAAATTTTCTTCTATTAATTTGGTTAATTCCAGATGTCTAATCCATAAAGTATAGTTATCAATACCTTCTCTTGTAATGATTTTGATCTATTTCTGTGTTTGTTCATTAGATTCGAAAGGTGTTTACCTATGTCCCGAATAGGAAAAATATTGAAAAAATATAACTATTAGGCGGTTAAATGAAAAAACAAAGGTTATCCGATGAGATGATTAAGATGCGCTGATTGATTATCTATCAAAGTTTCTATATAAATTTATTTACAGTTATGGGGTAGGTCATATATATATATGAGAGATCAGGTATATTATGCTTTAGAAAATTCTAAAACGTTACCCAAACAGTCTATTTTAGTAATTTTACAATTTGAAACGGTGTCACCAATTAATGGATGTGATTCATCATTTGGATCAAAGACTAATTTACCCTTTGCAAATGAGAACTGTGCCAATATGCAGTGTGCGACACCGTTTTGTTGTACAGATGTGATCATTACGTCGAATTTTTTATCTGGATCTTCTGATAATTGATCTTTTATGTGACGTAATGTCCAATAAGTGTTTATCATTCTACTTGAACTTCTTAAAATGACATCTTTTGTTTGAATATTCCAATTCATATTTTCTAGATCCCTTTGCGTGAAGCACAGTGGCTGCTTTGATAAAATTCTATGAATTTGCAAATGATTAATCATGTCTGGGAATCTACGCAATGGTGAAGTTACTGTTGCATAGTATTTTGTTGCAATCATGGAATGGGGTGATGGATATGTTGTGAATTTACTTGTATTAAACAATGATGATATTTTATTAATGTCTTTCAGTGTTGGTCGTTTTCCTAATTTTAGATTTGAAAGCATTGCATTATATTCAGATTGGGCATCTTTGCCTAACAACAAATCTGAGTATGATCTATATATGGCAGGAATACCATTTTCTGCAAAAAATTTACCTGCCAAAGAGTTTGCTAAAATCATTAATTCTGAAACAAGTATATTAGAATCTGTAAATTTACCACCTTTAAAATTGATTTGAGTAACTTCTCCAGTAATTTCATCTTTGGTCAGTTCTATTTTACCATTATTAATTTCATCACTAAATATTACTGCATTATTCATAATTCTTGAGTTATTTAAACCCTTTGCAATTAAAAACATACTTTTTAAATCTTTTTCAACTTTTTTATCTCTTCCAGATTCTTTGCTATCATTCAAAATTGAATCAACATCACTATACGTCATGTCTTTAACGAAATTCGAAACATAGCCTAGTCTTACTTGAAACGTATTATCCAGTACTTTGACTGTCATATCTTTCTTATTCAATTTCACATCTACAGAAAAAGTTATAGTTTTTGTCTTCTCACCAGTTTTACCTAAATCTGCAGCCCTGCACAAAAGCTTTGGTAACATTGGCAATACTTGATCAGGTAAATAAGTAGTGAACGATCTTTGCAAAGCAATTTTCAAAATTTCATCATTTTCAATATTCACATTATGATCATTACAAATTTTGAAATAAGAAGAAGGGTCTGCAATATGAACATGTAATGTGTAAACATTATTCTGCTTGTATTCGATTGAGACACCATCGTCTATTTCATGGGCGGTCTTTTCATCTATGCAAAATACCCTCAAATCACCGAAATCATGACGATTTGAATTGTTAGAAGTTTGAATTGGATTATACATTTGGTAAACCTTTTCTTGTTCTTCTGTTCTATTTGAAGCCAATGGCAGGGCCAAATCAGTATTATAAAGCAGTGAATTTTGTATTTTTTGTTCTTTTGGTACTAATTCATTGTATAATTTCTGACATAAATCTCTGGACACATCATACTTTTTGTAATCGTCTAAATTTCTAAATATCTTAGAGATCATAGTGACAATTTTATCATCCATTAAAACGGCACCCGACGCATATTGTTTTAATAGATTAAGTAATTGTGGGAATTCATTTGGTGTATTTGGTATACCATTTTTAGTAAATCGTTCGATTGAATGATCCAATTCAATTGCTGGCAAAATTTCTTTATAATACATGTAATTCGATTGCAACGGTAAAATTGACACCGCCAATGGGAACAATAAGGCTTTACTATAATGGATATCTCCCCATAGATGATCCTGTTGTTGTTGACGAATAGCCCAGAAGGTAGCGATTAGATTTGAAGAATTGATGCTTTCGATTGAATAATTTTCATTCGAATTGGCAATAAAATTCGAAATATAACTTTCACCATCATTCGATGTTGCCTTTGTAAGATCCAAATTTTGCACTAACGAAGATAATTGCACCAAAGGAATAATCTTGAAAGCTTGTAGATTCCTATGCAATAGTTGTAATTTTTTCAACACAATTGGCAATAGATTGTTTGCGTTTGAAGATATAGTTGATAGAGAAGGCGATATTACCAATTGACGTAAGAGAACAGGTAAAACATAAGGATTATCGATTGAATTTTTGACAGTGCCCACACCTTGAGTTGGCTCAGGTTGCAAGAAGTCATCCGATAATAGCAAGTTAGTGGGTAATTGCAAAGGAATACGTAGCAACACGGATGATCTATTTGCGAATATAATATCACCATTTGAATTAGCAAAAGAATAACGAGGGTCTGCAGTAGATTGTGGTAGTTCTATACACATGTATAAGTTTGACAAGTCTTGTGAAAGCAGCACGATATCACCTCTATTGAACTTTTTATTCAGTTGGTTAATATTGAAAGTATGATTATTTTTTGGAATGAAAGAGAGCCATTTTGGAGAGTTGGAGGTTGAAGTTGCGGTTGTTGCTGAAGTTGACGTTGACGTTGACGGTGAGCATGGCAACGATGGTGGCGGTGATGATATTAATAATGATTTGTACCATGTGTTTGAAGGTTGGTTATAAGTCAAGTTAAATCTTTTGATTGAATTTGATTTTATCTTTTGTATTGAGTGTGGTATTGATATTGTTTCCAACCCACTTGTTCTGTTCAAAAATTTTTTAATGATAGTATCTTTTGATGATAGCAGCACGTTGCTTTTGTTCTTGGGGATTAGATATTTTGAAGACATGGTGTTGGTGTTGGTGTTGTTGTTGTTGTGAGGCAGTGTGATGAAGATACCCCAAGGTTGAATAGCATTGATAACGCAGCGCTGTTTGACGGTTATGGGTGGGTATGTAAGAGTATGTATGTGTGTGTGTTTGTTTATATACAAAGCATGATTAATTAATTAATTAATTGATTTATAGAGCTGGAGAGAGTGGGTGGTTATGCAAAAATAGTATTAGACGATGCGGTCATTGGTTACGGGAGCGGATTGAGGTGTTCTTGAGTGAGACAATGGAGTTTTATTACAGCAAGAGATAGAGCTAATGTGTGTGTTTGTTGTATATCTGCAGGTTGTATTAATATTATTCTAGCCACATGGTCTTGGATAGATAAGATATGGATGCCCACATTTGTACATACACACTTCAAGACGTAACTATATGTATATGTATATATATATATACTAATAGAAAAGAAGAGATAAGGATAAGAGTAAAAGAAAGATATATATATATATATATATATATATATGTATAATGATACTGTTTGGCATTGGCAATCCAGTCAAATACAAAGGAACTCGACATAACGTTGGTAAATATATAATTGAGCAGTTGAGAAGGGAACTTTGTCCCAACATCGAGTACAAGAAAGGCAAACGTTATGAGTATGTTGAATGTGATGGTGGTGATACAAGAAGTGAAAGGTTAGTGCTGTGTAGAAGTGTCGATACGTTTATGAACCATAGTGGATTATCAATCAAGGAGTATTTGCGAGGACGTCATGGCGGGGCGGGTAGTCTCCAGAGGATGGTTGTCGTGCACGACGAGCTGGAGCTGAGCATTGGCAAGATCAAGATGAGGGACGGCGGCAGCAGCAACCGGGGACACAACGGTCTCAAGAGTGTGTACGGTGAGGTTGGGCCCGTGACCAAGCTTGGGATTGGGATTGGCCGTCCGTCGCGATCGGTGAGCGCGGGCAAGGGAGGAGGCGACGACGACGTGGTGGAGTACGTGTTGAGTGAGATGAGCGAGACGGAGAGACGAATCATACGTGAGGAGACGGTGCCACGGGTGTTGATGCTTTTGAACGACCAGCTGGCCGCACGGAAATAGAAAGCAGAAGTGGTTGTTCCCTTTTGTCATGTCAGCCGCACGCCGTGTGCGTTTTCATAAAAATAATAGTGATAATGACGAATGGGTATATATAGAAGATGTATTAATATAATACTTTCCCACGTGTGCCCCGAGTGGGCCCGGGTCTGCCAATGTGAAGGGGGGAATTTTAAATTAGACTATTTTGAAGAGAACATCTGCACGGGCGAGGCAAAGGCAGAGGCAGAAGGTAAGGTACGGTACGGTAATGGTACGGTAATGGAACCCACGTTTTGAAGGGTAAAAAACGGACGTTTTTGTATGTTCTGGCGGGCGGTGCGGTGCCGTAGCCAAAACCCAAGCTAGATGGGCCAAGGAACTTTTCCTATGGGGGGGAGGGAAACCACCCGAGAAAGGAAGATTTGGTCGGGATGGAAAATAAATTTCAGGATTGTTTTGTTTTAAAGCAACCCTGCCTAAAAGGGGACAAATTTTCGGCGTTTTTGGCGTTTTGTTTCCTATAAAGGTTCGC